TTATAAAGCTCGAGAATCGTTTTATAAAACTCGAGAATCGTTTTATAAAACTCGAGGATCGTTTTATAAAACTCGAGAATAGTCTTATAAAACTCGAGAAATCGTTTTATTAAACTCAAGAATCGTTTTATAAAACTCGAGAAATCATTTTATAAAACTCGATAATCGTTTTATAAAACTCGAGAATCGTTTTATAAAACTCGAGAAATCGTTTTCTAAAACTCGAGAATCATTTTATAAAACTCGAGAATCGTTTTACAAAATCGCAAAAAACCGAAAAAGCCGTAAACGCGAACTAGTCACGACTAGTTCGCCCATCGGCGAACTAAGCCGGGCCCGGCTTAGTTCGCCGATGGGCGAACTAAGGACACTCCTCTAGTTCGCCCATCGGCGATCTAAGCCGGTCCCGGCTTAGATCGCCGATGGGCGAACTAAAAATAATCCCACTAGTTCGCCCATGGGCGAACTAAAAAACTTCCTGGACACTCCGCGTCTCAATTTCCCGCATTCCCGATTCGAAACTTACGTCTTTCAACAAGGTCGCATTCTAAACCACGGCCGAAATATCTCTCGTTCCATCTCAATCCGACTTACCGTTCGAGTTTTACGATAAAAACCGTAAAACTTCGTTTTCTCGGAAAGAACTCAAGGAAATCGTATAAAACGGCAACGGTTAAACATTGCCTAAACTATACGATTTATTCGAGATTTCTCGTTAAAATCGTAAAAAACGCGCTTTTAATAAAAAACGCCGAGTAAGTCGTAAAAACGTGTTTTTAATAAAAAGTCGAGTAAATCATAAAACTTCGCGATTAACTCGAGAAATTTATTAAAAACGACGTCAGATCAGGAAACGATCCCGTAAAAGTCGGAAAACGATTTTTATCGCATAACGGCCCGGAAGGACCTAAAACGCGATAAAAACCCATCTCGCTATTTCAACGGAATCTAACCCGCAGATTTGATAACGTTTTGACGGTTTACTCGCAGAAAGAAAATAAAATTCAAGTTTAAACATAAAAGGAAGGTTTGAAGAGAAATAGAAGATTTCCGCAGAAGAAAAGGAAGGATCGAGAAGAATGGAAAATTCCCGATTTAAGTCAAATCTAGGCGAAATGGAAAGATCGGATAGCCAAGACGAGGAGTATATAAAGAGGAGGTCTCGGGCAGAAGCATACAGACAAAATCCAGAGCTCTCATGTGAGACTTTACAACTTTTCCAACTTAGAATTTTCCGCACTTAGAAACTTAGGCTTTTTCTCGACAAGTTCAGTTTCTATGACTGGCGCTCAATCACTAGACGAACTTGCCCAGGCAGTTCGATCTCTTGTCCAGCTCTATCAACTGAACTACGTTCGACTTGATCCCCGAAAGGGGTACGTAGACAGCCTTTCATAAGGTTCAGTCTGAAATCATTCAAACCTTTTTTCCTATCTTTTTCCGTTTTTCGTTATCGAGCTGCGACTCAACTAGATCTAGGGTTTTATGTTTGTAACTCGCTGATGGCCCCTGCGGCCAAAGCCTTTGTAATTCCTTGTAATGATCGCAACGCTCTTACGCGAATCGGAAATAAGATCGACTTTCTTTGTAAATTCGTTTTATTATGTTTTTCATATTTTTCCGCATTTATTTGGTTACTTGTCGTTGGCTTTCGCAGAGATCCGGTTCCTCTGGAAAATCAGGGTTTTCCTAAGTTTCCTTATTTAACGGAAATCGACAAGTGTGAATTTCGGTTCCCACACATCACTAGCTGTATCAAGGGCTCTCTTGAATTCTGGGCTGATGCCTCTGTAGAAAGTGCAGAGCAGTTGCACTTTGTTGAATCCGTGGTGTGGGCAATCTCGCTGGTAGGATTTGAATCTGTTCCAAGTATCCTTGTATGACTCTTCAGAGTCTTGGGTGAATGTAGCATTTTTCTTCCTCCAGTCTTCAGCGTGTGAATCATCAAAGAAATTACGCAGGAAGGCGTGTTTGATGTCACTCCAGGTGGTAAGGGAACCTGGTGGTAGTTGTCTCAGCCACTGAAAAGCTTCTCCATATAGAGATTACTTGAAAAGCTTGCAGAAAAGGTAGTCTTGAGGGACTCCTTTTGCTTTGACTAGGGTTACAAGATCCTCAAACCTCTCCAGATGGTCCATATGATGCTCATGGGGCAAACCACAAAAAGGGATTTGTCCTACAAGTGAGTAGTACTGCGGCTTGAGCTCAAAATCTCTTCTCTGAATGGCAGGAGGGTGGATGGCTGATCGGTTGGAATAGAACTGATCTGGACGGTTGAAATCAGCAAGGTTCTAGTCTCTTCTACAGGTTGTATGATGCCTGTAGGTGCAGTGTCTTCTTCAGTAATGATCTCCTTCTGATCATTCAGCTTCTGACCTGATGCATTACGCAGGTGACCATCTTGATCACGCATGTCTCCTTTCTCATCGGGTATGAGAATCATAGGCGATACCATGTCTCGCCGGTTAGTATCGATCGATATAAGATAGGGTGTATCGATCGATGTCAATGGAAGGGTATCGGTCGACGAACGGTGGTTATTGTCGATCGATGTGGTGGTGTGGAAATCGGTTGACGAACGGTTGGTCGTCGGTGGAAAGCGCGTATCGGTCGAAACTGTGATGTTGGTATCGATCGATGTGGAGCGTAGGTCTTTGCGGATGCTACGTTCCAGGTAGTTGGGATCTTTTGAGTACAAAAGTTGCTTGTCCTTGTTGCTTCTGGTACTGCTGGGCATGTACCTGAAAGAGACAAAAAGAAAAAGAAAAAATTTTGTGTCAAAAGATTGAAAAATAAAAAGTAACAAATAACCTAGACTGAATCAGATCAAATCTAATAGTAATCTTAGTTCCCCGGCAACGGCGCCTAATTTGATATCACTCAAATGTTTAACCTAAGAAGTGATTTACTCTCTCAAATAAGAGGTTCAATCGTAGTACTTAGAGATCGAATCCACAGGGAACTAGAGTCACAAAAGAATTAATCCTAAGTGATTAAGCTAGGTTGAAAAAGGTTTAAAACAAAAAAATAAATAGTTGGTAGTAATGGTAAGTTGGTGAGAAGATGGTTTTGAAAACAATAAGAGAAAATAGCTAGATTCAAGGTTACTGTTCAGAAAATCAGGATTATAAATCTGTGGATGTTTTAACGAATTCTTGCAAATATATTAGGACTTCAATCCTTAGATAAATCTATAGCTGTCGCTAGTTAGACTCGTCCATTGCTCTGATTGCCGACAATATCGATCGATGTTGCTATCGCTGTATCGATCGATATGCTTTGTCGTCGATCGATCACTCTAAAGGAGTATCGATCGATATAGCATCAGATCGAATTGAAACTGTGTCCACCCGAGAACATATATTAGACTGCCTATCGCACGTGCCTAATAGAGTCTGAGCTTAGCCAAATGATTTTAGGATAATGACTATTAGATTAGTCACTCCATGATCATACTTCTAGGTAGCTAATCTAGAAGAAGCATTAGGGTTCATTTGGTTAATGAATATAACAATTCAACATACCATAGTTGGGGCTAATCCCTCATAACTATTTGAACCCTAAATCTAACAAATGAATCTACTCAGACATAGCCAAGTGATTCATAGCAAAATAATAAGATGAAAAGAAAATGCTTTTATTGCTAAGTATAGAATATAATACAAAATTCTTAATTTCTGATTGTCTTTCTAGGGCTCATAGGCATAGCTATAAATACAATTACAATTAGGTTAAAAAAACTCGTCAAGGACAATCTTGTAATTTGGTGAGAACTTGAGCTTCAAGTTGGCCAAATAAATCTTGCTCATCACGCTCTGTATCGATCGATGGTACATGGTGTACATCGATCGATGGAGTATCTCGACTTCAACTTCTACGGAAGCGTCATCGATTGATTACACAGGGTGTGTATCGGTCGATATGTATCTCTTATGTCGGATCTTCATAGTCATCTTGGAAAACTCTTCTTTAAGCACCAAAAGGCACCTAAATCATCACTTTACCACAAAATGCTCCTGAACCTGAAAACATAACTAATAGACTCCAAAACATAGATATTTATTATAAAAACATAGTAATACCATGACCAAAAACGGGTCAAAATCATGGTATATCACTCCTCTTCAGAATAGGAGCATAAACCATGATTGTCATCTCTCCAACATTCAAAATGTCAGAGAAGAACTTGGGGAAGATGTTTGGTCTGAGTTGAGGGATTCAGCTATTGGATTTATTGTGAAGCTGAAAGAGGTCAAGTATATTTGGTCTGCGAAAATTGTTCACCATTTCCTTGTCAATCAATTAGCAATCGAGAGCATTCATGAGCTTTGGTCTTTGATAGATTGTATGCCATTGCGTTTCTCTTTGTATGAGTATGGAGAGATTACAGGTCTTAATTGTGATCCTTTCGACAAGGATGATGTTTGGGATGTGGATCATCGAGAGTTTTGGCGGGAGATGAACATTCCGACATCAGATGAACCTACATTGCAAGAGTTACAAGACATATTTCCGGTCGCCAGAAACTTGCCTCGAGAGAAGCGAGTGATGATTGGTTTGTTGTGCCTGCTATCCACTGGTATATTTAGTGTTTCAAGCAACAGCAGAATTCCTTTGCATTGAGCTAAAAGGGTGATGGACAGTGCATCTTTCCAGCGATATCCATGGGGTCGTGTTTGATTTAGCAGCCTTGTTTCCATCAAAGTATTCGGATATGATGGAAAGCAAATTTATACACTTCACGGCTGTATTCATGTGCTCCAAATATGGATTTATGAGTGTGTCCATGGCTTAGGAGAAATACATGGGTATCGAATAGAGGGAGCTGATGTTCCTCTTCTGTCATGGGGCGGATCTCGTGCGCGTGTTAACTTCTCTGACTTTTGTGCCCCATAAAAAAGAAAGTATCAGGAGGTATGAACATATGAATTATTTCTTACATTTAAATTTTTTTTGTCTTAATAATCTTGTATATTACTTTGCAGGTTCGTGTGAGGCATATGATTATGAAGCCAGTGGAGGATATATATCCGAAGTGGGATAATTCAAACATCTCTACTGATCTGGACAACATGATAAAAGATATCCTCAATGGACAGCTAAATGAGAAGTTTTGGGATGCAACGCCAACTACCAAATGCGAGAAGGGAAAATATGGTGTTGCCGCATCTGTTGTTCCAAACCAGAGCCCTTCTACTAACCGGAGAAAAGACAAACAACCTGTTGGTGGAGGTGAAGCACCTGATTTGGTATGTACAAAATGTTTCCGTAGTTAGTTATAATGTTTTTTTTTAACTGACATGGTTTTGTTTTGTAACTGTTGTTCCAAACCAGAGCCCTTCTACTAAGAGAAAAAAGGCAAACAACCTGATGACGGAGGTGAAGCACCAGATGTGTTATGTACAAAATGTAGTTAGTGATAGATTTTTTTTTTTAACTGACATGGTTTTGTTTTGTCTATGCATATGTAGCTTCCAACTTACAACGTTTCCATACATGGGTTAGTTGAGTTGATCAAAATCCTCACTTCCAAAATAGAAGGCATCGATATTAGTGTAGCTGAGTCATTAGAGGCTACTATTAACGCTAAGGTGGAAGCTAGAATGCGAGTATATGATTCTGACTTACGAAAGCAGATTGCAAAATTGGAGGCACTAATAAAAGATATTTTGAACAACAAGGATGCAAACATTGCTCAAGGAAATGTCGCCACCTCCAAGGCATAAGAGGTTGACGATGATGGTGCTTCTAGCAATGATTTGGTACCATTATATATCATTTCTTCTTTTTATTTTATTTTTTTAATTTTTTTTTACTAATTATCACTGTCTATTGCTCAGTCATGGATTGTTCAGAAGAAGATTAATTCACAAGATGGATCGCCAGTTGATTGTGTTGTGAAGAAGGAGAAAAAAACTAAGAAGAAAATGGATAGCAGCCAGAATCTTTCGAATAAGGAGGTGGAAAAGACTGAGAAGAAAGCTGTAATTCCACTAAGAAGAGTGAAGCAAGAGAAGGCTGTCAAGATCCCACAACTAAATGATGATTCTATATCGTCAGAAGATTGTGAACATCATTCACTGTGGGAAAAGAGTGTAAACTGTAGGACTGTGTTGGCAGCACCTGTTTCAAACTTCGAGGAGCCTACACGCAGACGCAAGCCTCAGTTGAGAAAGACTCAAGTTTGGCCGTATGTTGGAAACTCAGCAGTGAAGCGTATTATAACTGGTGATAAAGACTCGAAGGAACCTTATGACCTATTAGCTAAGGTGGAGGCAGAGAAACTCAAGAAAGTTTTGGACTTCATCAAGTCAGATTTGTAAGTTTCCTCTCGTACATCCTTGCTTCTTATTTCGACATAGTCTAATAATAAATTTTTCTTCTTTCTAGGGAAGCAAAAGAAGCCGGGTTTTGGAGATGCGAGCGCTGGGTTTTTCTTGAAGTTAATAATACCTAGGGATGATTGGCCAACAAAATCCTACGGCTGGTTGCAAGACCTTGTAAGTTTAATTTCTGTTTTTTCATGCCAAAATATTAAACTACTGCCGGTTGCTGACTATGAATTGTTTTATGTCTTAGCACATTGAAGCAGCAAGGGTTATGTTTCACAGACGGTCCAGGCCAGAACAGTCTCCGTATTCCTCTTCTCGAATTGCATTCTTGTCTCACTGGTTTGTGAACTCATGGGTGAGTGACTACAAGAACTGGGACCAGAACATGAATGAGTTGTCAGAAAAGTACAACAAGGCTTTTAATGGCGAACACCCAGCTGATTTTGTCATGGGTAAGAAGTAGATTGATGACGTCGACGATCTTTTCCTCTGCAACCATGTTCACGGAGATCACTGGGTTGCTCTACGCATCGATCTGAAGAAGGAGAAAATCCATGTCTATGATAGTATTTGCACACATTTGAGTGATAAGGGGATGAAAGAGGCGTTCCGGCCTTTCATGAGAATGATACCGGCAGTGCTTAACAAGATGCTGCCTGCTAAAACGAGGACGAAAAGTGATAAACAGTTCAGTTATATTAGGCACAAGAAGATTGTTGGGGTCAAAATCGGTTACGACGGAATCAACAACCAAAACTTCCCGCAGAAGTTAAAAATAAAGATTTAAACACGAAAAAAGTGTCGAGAAGAAATCTAAGGATTCTCCGAACAAAGAAAATCCTAAAAAATCGACAATCGTCATCTTGAAAATCGTCTGGAAATCAAATAAAACAGCCCGCGATTGTTTTATTGGCCAAGTTAACAAAAACGGCCGTAACACCCAAACTCCCCGAGATGTTAAAACTATTGTTAAAGATTGGAATCAACTCCTACAGACACGTCTCCTTACATCCTCAAAGGTCTCGGGTCGAGAAAACAAGAAAAGACCAAAGCCGAGCAACCGTCCAACTCGCCAACGGGCTAGCTAGGACACTCATGTGACCAGCTCGCCCGTGGGCGAGCTGAACAAATCAGTCCAGCTCGCCCATGGGCGATCTGGCCATACCTGTGACCAGAACGCCCATGGGCGAGCTGCACTCATAAAGTCCAGCTTGACCATGGGTGAGCTGCACTCATCAAGTCGAGCTCGCCCATGGGCGAGCTGCACACACTTGTCCAGCTTGCCCGTTGGTGAGCTGAGCACATCTGTCCAGATCGCCAATGGGCGAGCTGATTTCAAGACTTGATCACTCTAGGATTGAACCTTAGTTCCTGCTCACAAGGTGTATGTTGAAATGGGTGAACCAACTTTACTTAGCTCCAAGACTTCTTAGCCAGTGACCTTTGTATCTAAGAAGTTTTAGATAGTTATTAAACCTAATCTTAATGATTGCTTGAATTAATTAAGCCAATGACCATTTGTGTTTGATTAATGAAAGCAAATGAGTATTTATCTAGACCTAGAACTTGCTTAGTTAAGTTGTTTAGACTTAACGATACATTTTGATTGAAACCTTAATTGCTTTAGATCAATTGCCTTAATCCCATGAGTTATACCTTATCATTTGATTGAAAGTTATTCTTGCATTTATTTCTTGATTGGATTTGAGACCACCATTGTCTATATTTCTAGGACCTTAGCTTGTTACAAATCATCCATCTTGTTGTTTGCTTAGATTAAGAGTGTTTGTGTATTCTTGGGACTACAAATCTCTAGTTCTCAGTGGGTTCGACAATATTATATACTACATTGATTTGATCTTGGACCCTTGAAATGTCCTGCATCAATCATTTTATTAGAGAGTGTGTTGAGAAAGGACTGATTGAGGTTGAGCATGTTCTGGGTAACGAGCAGAAGGCAGACATATTGACGAAGTCTCTTGCAAGGATTAAGTACAGAGAGATGAGAGAGCTCATTAGTGTTCATGAAGTGAAGAAAGAAGATGTCAAGTTTAAAGGGGAGAATGTTGGAGTAAGCTTGAAAGAAGCTTGAGAAAGAAGCAATCCTAATCCTAGTTGTGTTAAGTTTTATAGATAGATAATGATGATATGTTTAGAAATATCTATTTGAGAGATTACTAAAAGGATTAGGAATGGATACATCTATATATTAAGATGACGTGAGATGATAGTGTGATTGTGAGGAATATTGAGATTGTGAGAATCTTAAGTTTTTGAGCTAGTTTTCTTAAGCAATAAGAGAGATCTTTTATAACTTGTGTGTTCTTACTAAAGGTGGGTAAACATGTTATTTCCCCACAGAAACTATCATAGCATCAAATATCCATCAAACTATCACCTCGTGCTATACTTCCCAAAATTATAAGTTATTAACTTATTTCTCCCCGAATCTATAGTTCGAAATCTTTTTCTCACTGAATTAGTAGTTTGGAACTTAATTATACATAAACAATGGTTTAGTCGGTTTATTGTTAAACAAACAATTTTACAACCAAACACAACTTCAATTTTATTTAAAAAAAGAAGTTTTCAAATTCTCTCAAATATGAAGTTATCAAAGTTTTTTTGATGATAGTAATAGTGTGGAGTTTAAATAGTGTATGAGCATTTTTTTTTATTTTTTGGATAACAATTAGATTATTGACTTGTTTAATTGGTTTAAGTTATATGGTTAACAATAAACCAATAAAAATATAGTATATGGGTAATTAAATTTCAAACTATCGATTTAGGGAGAAATACATTTGAAACTTTCAATTCAGGGAGATGTGGCATGTGGTCATAGTTCGATGGATATCTGAACTATATGATAGTTCTCATGGGAAAATTCAGATTCTTGAGAATGAGATGGAAGATTCAGATTCTTGAGACTTTGGAAAAAAAAATATTTTCCTTAGAATAACGTCGATTCGAGCTTGGATTATTGATTTGCATTATTTGTAAAACCTTGTTAAATTAAATTCATGTTTACTACTTAACTAGACTGAAAATTTGCAACAAATTGGATCAATAATTAAATATAATTGTTGAATAAATCCTGGATTTTCCTTCCGAGAACATGGCCATTAAAACCATCAATTTTCAAACTAAAGCCAAAAAACTTACAACTCATGTTTGAGAAAATTTAACTTTTAAATATTGACTGTTTTAACTCTCATATTTTGTTCACTTGGTCATTTAAGAAATCTGAATAGTCAAATGTTAATCTCGATTACAAAAACATATGTATGTTAATTCTTTAAACGATGTAGTTTTAAAAACTGATTAAACATATCAAACAACGTCGTTTTACTTTTGTAAATACTTAAAACATCTTACTCGCGAAATTAGAACCCCAAATTGACTTCATCTTCCTCACTTCAAATCAGGAAGATGAAGTCAATTTTGGATTCTAGTTTCGCGAAAGAGATACTTTAAGTGTTTAAAGAAGCGAAATAACGTTGTTTGACTATTTTTAAAACAAAATCGTTTACAGAGTTAAGATACATCTATTTTTATAATCGCTTTTAAGTGTTGACTATTCTGGTTTCTAAAATGGCTGAGTCAACAAAATATGAGAGTTAAAATAACTAATATTTGAAAGTTGAAGCGTTTTTGGCTCAAACACGAATTGGAGAGTTTTTTGGCTTTAATTTGAAAATTCGGAGTTTTAATGGTTGTTTTCTCTTTTCCTTCATAACCATTTGTCCAATTCCTTGTGAGGGGAATGAGAAAAATGCGAGAAAGAGGCGGTTAGTGGCAAAAGAGTAATGTTAAGAGAGTTGCGAGGGTGGTTTCGTGGTCAAAACTGAAAGGTAAATTCACATATACTTTTTCGCTCACTATAAGAACTTTCTTCTTCTTCTTCTTCTTCTTCTTCTTGCTTCTTCCGATCGTTCTATCCTTGTAAATTTTCTCTCTCTGACATTTTTAGAAAAAATGAGTTCACCGTCACCAAAAAAGGGAGAACCATGAGTTTCGAGGTTAGTCCAAGACCAATAGTTCTCCGATTGCATTGATTTGTAAGCTCTATAGCTGAAGGATAAACACCGATTTAGATTTTCTTGATTTTGAAATCTTTTACATATTCTTTGGTCATCTTCTGATAAGCTCGGATTAGGTGGATTAGAATTAATAGTTTGGTGTGATTGAACTCATTCACATTCTTCGGATCGCGTATTTCTATTATCTTTCTCCAAGATCTTTGTTTAGCCATTCATTTACGATCTGTATGAATTAAATAGCTACACGGCATTGATAATATCCATTTTACGATTCAGTTTGTGTTAAATAGTTTCTAAATATTGTTAGTATTGTCTGGGAACTCCACTAACCAGTTTGTATTAACCTAAATAAGGAATTTGTGATGAGGTTGATTTACTCTGATGATAACATAGACTAGAGGTGAGATGGATCCGGATATCTAGAAACTTTAGAGTATCCAGATATGGAATCGTTGGATCCATGATTTTACTATCTGGATTCGGATTCGTGTCTTTTGGATATACATGGTTTGGATATCCGTCTAGAAATTGTGATATCCGCGGATATCCGAATTCAGATCCGAATCCATAAAAATAATAAATAAATTAATACAAAAATTCAAAAAAGTAATACATAAATAAATCTTAATATAAAACTTATAAATATATATTTATGACATATAATATTACTAAAATTAAAATATAATATTATAAGAAAAATTTATGTATAAATATTAATATATCAAATATGATTATTAATAAAACTAAAAATTAATTTATTCTAGAAACACGGATATGGATTCAGACCTAAAATTAATATCCGGATTCGGTTTAGACAGATCCGAGATATTACTATGTGGATCCGGATCCGGACACTCCGGGTATCTTATTTTTGGAGCGGATCCGGAGGAGATCTCTGATCGGATCTGGATCCCAGATAATAAGTCTCAGTCCTAACATTGACTATTTTTTTCAGTATTGTCATTATGTTCTTTCCCAAATCTCCTTATAAACCCCTACCTGCATTTTGAATCAGGTCCCAGAGGCCGGAGGAGAATAAGGAGGAACAAGTTAGATTCAGGTTTATTATGGGCTACCAACTTAAAATCAATTGGTGATAAGTGAAATGGCTTATCTATCAAGGATCCCTTCAAACTACCGATGTGAGATCTTTATCCCTAATATTCCCTCTAGATATGATGGCTCCTTGAGCGTCAATCTCAGAATGGTTAGGCAAGGATCAATGAGCCATCTTTGGGCAAATATCGATAATGGATGAGGTTCGACTTATGTGGATCGGGCTCTCATACCATGTTAGACTCGGGTTTATTATGGGTTTTCAACTTAAAACTAATTGGTGATAAGTGGATTGGCATCTTATATACTAATAATAATCCATTCCAACTACCGACGTGAGATCTTTGTCCCTAATAAAACAGACCCCACCGCCGCAAGTCACTGGTATCCATGCAAGTCTGTGAAAAGTGACTTAATTCAATTTTCTTATGCCTCCACTTTCTTACTTTTTTCCCCCTCCATCAATTCAATTAAGTAGAAAATGTCATGGATAATCAAGCCCATGCTTTTGGTGATCTGGATCTTACCTGTAACGAAGACGCAAGTATATTTGATGATAAGGATGGCCACGAAGAGGTAACTATATATGCTTTCAGTGTTCCTGCTTCAACACTTCACTTAAGTATGTGTGTCTAGTTCTTTTATCTCATTCTGTTTTCCTTTGCATTGAGCTACAAATTGTTAATGATATGGATGGCCACGAGTAGGTAAATTATACATGCTTTCAGTGTTCTTGCTCCAACAATTCACTTAAGTATGTGTCTAGTTCTTCTATCTCATTTTTTTCTGTGAATTGAACTACATATCATTAATGATATGGATGGCTACGAGGAGATAACTATATGTGCTTTGAATGTTTCTAATTATTATGTCTTCTTCTTTCTCACTTTATTCTTAATTTAAGGATATGCAGCTTGTAGATCATGATGGTTATGATAACCTTTCTGTAAAACTCTACACTGAAATGCATTTGCAAAAGCAGCTCATCCTTGTTCGTGTTGATCAAGACATGAGGGCCAGCCTTATTGACAGGATATTGGTTTCAGAAAGGGATGCACAAAACCCTTGAGCACTTCACTTGGCAGTGTTGATCTTTGTTCAATAATTTGGAAACTTTCAACCTGCTGAAGGGCAGACACATTTACGACCTCAAACAGTCATGGACATAGCACTGTCCATTCCAGTGTTTGTCTCTTATTTTGAGATTATTTTATCAATTTTATACCCACTGCTTTGTTTTCTTCTAGCAAATACGAGTATGGTGCCAGAAGGAGGGCAGATGTACTCGATAACCACAACTCAGCTGAACATTAGATAGAAATGGCCATACTTGGTAGCTTCAAATGGAGAATATCTAGTCCAACTACAAAAACGTTTGTTGACCTCTTTCTTTGATTCAACCACCAAATTGATGATACTGTGAGTTCTACTTTTCTACATATGATCTGCTCTCGGTCTCTTGTACAAAATCTGAACATCATTATAATATGAATTTTTTTTATTTGACTAACCCTAACTCTATTTTTTGCTTGCAGTTGAAGATTCTCTGCTCGTACCTTATGGAATTGTCTCTCCTCTACCAAGATTGTTTTCAGCTTTACCCATCTATGATAGCACCACTGGGGCTTCTTGGCTCAGTCCATGCTTCATTCAGATGAAAAATCTCAGGCGGTATGCAAAATCTTGTGTTGCTCATGAGCCATATATACTACATATTGATTACAACATATTACGTATTGCATTGCTTACTGATTACAACATATTACAACATATTGTATAGATTACATATTACATTTTAATAGTTCATCACCGAATTTGTTTATCACCAACTAAACCTATTGGATTTCTTTCATCTAAGAGAACCCAACACTGCTAACCAATAAGGGGACTTCGGTGTCCATATATGCATATGCTTCTCAGTACTGATTCTTATGGAATTAGCACGACCGGCGATCAAATTCTTAGTGGGAATTATCAACTTTATAATATTTTACCTTTTTACTTCTAGTTGTTAATATTTGAAAGGATTTAAAAATTTAGATATACGATTAGCTATTGGGGACTAATCTCCCATTTTTTTACCTTTTTTATAGATCTTTCTCCGTAATTATATTTACATAAAATTTAGATAAAGAAAAAATTTCCGTTGTTCTTTGATACCTTTTTTCAAAAAGAAATTCTGCTTCAGCGCTTAATGCTTGGTAAATGCTATTATTTATTGAAATTCAAGTTTATTTCTTTATTTAAATTAGTCCGTGTGGATAAAATAAGATGATTGACCAAGTAAAAAGAGATCAGTTGGAAAAGAGATCACTAACCTTCATTTTTTGGCTGTTGTTCTTTTGTTCTTTATCCTGATCGTGTGTGATCAGTTGGAAAAGAGATCACTTGTGATCATCTTGTGCTTTAAGCCTGTGTGGCTAACATTTAAATATATATGGAAATTTAAAGTAAAAAAAAAAAAAAAAAAAAAAGATGATTGACACTATTCTTTTTTTTTTTGTTAACTGACGATTGACACTATTTATATCTGAATTATGCATGGTTTGTACAGCATCGTATTAGAACTAAATTCTTAAAATGAAGACCATAAGTGAGACAAACGAACTCTAGACTTCCATTTGTGAATATAATATTAGAGTTGAATTACAATCAAAATTATACTTTGATAAAACTTGCAGTAAAAACTGTAGATTTATATGGTGAGTCTGATGTGAGGATTTGAGTTATTATTTTGTCAGCATAATTGATTGGTAACTTTTTTGATGTATAATTTGTAGTAGATATCCTGTTATAAAATTATATAATATTTAATACAAATTTAATAAAAGTAGAGAAAAGTATATTAGCTTAAATAAAATTTAAGTAAGTATATATATACAATCGTGTATGTACATAACTTTTTAATTAAGAAACAAAAATAACAATTAATTTTTATTAAAATAAGGATATAACTTTTAACTATCAAACAAACTTAATAATTAAATATAAAAACAATTTGGATTAACCAACTAAAGTCTTTTAATAAAAAACACTAATTAAAATGAGAATATTTTCTTAGAGAGTCTAATAGTCTATGGCTAACAAGTAGGTAATTTATTAAAAGAGTCAATTAGTTCAATATACCTAAAAGTGTAGAAAATAAAGAAACTACCCCACGCGCTCAAAAACCCTCTTATCCTATACACTTTTTCATCTCATTTGACAGTTTAGCCCCTGCCCAAACATTTTGCATCTTTCTCTCTCTTTCCCAATTTTCCTCTCGTAGATCAATTTTTTTTATTCTTCTCTTTCAAAAAAACATACATCTTCTCATCCTCCATTAAAGAAAAATGTTTCTTCACAGATCCATAATCAATTTTATTTTTGAATTGATAATTTGGAGAGAGAAAAACACACCGTACAAAACTTGCATACTAGTTTATGTTAACAAAGAATGTTTAATGTTAATTTTTAGGTAAAATAAGTTAAAATTTGTTAGTGGATAACTTGTTTGTTAGAAACATGTACTGGGTGCAAAAAGAATTTATAAAGCGATAACATATTTTATAACAGCTAACCAAATGTATATCAGCTAACCAAACGTATATCATTTAACACAATATATATCAGGTAACAATAAGTACTTATAACATCTTAACAACTAATTAAAAAGCGATACAATGTTTTATAGCAGCTAACCAAACATATATCGGTTAATGAAAACATATTATATGACTTGTTATATACAAATGTAACTGCTAAGTTTTGACGTACAATATTATATGACTTGTTAGAACGGTAACAAACTTTGTACCGTTTAACAAACTATGTATAACCAAATGTCAGCTATTTATTAACATCTATAAACCATTTTAAAAATCTTTAACGTGTTTTGTAACAGCTAAGCAAAGCTTTACCTGCACATAACACTCAACTTGCACATGTATTGAATCAACCAAGCGAGTAACAAAGAGCCACAAACTGCATTGGGAAGATCTTAATCACTTGTTCATTGCGTTTTCCCTGCATTAGTCAAGTCTACCTTCCGAGTTCAACGCTGCATGGTGGTTGTGGATCTGACTTTCTTGTCACCGGATCTATGGCGTGCCTGTTGGATCTCTCAGCGTAATTCAGATCTTGAGCCATACCAACAAACTCTCTAACTTTTGAATCAGACGGAAGACTGGAAATTGAGAGTAGATTTTTTATTGCCGGAGATGGTCGGAGTCATCTAATCACCGCCGTGGGAATAGCCCCGAGAGACATCACTTATGTTGACATGATCTGAAGGATTGAGTACAAAATTAGCAAATCGCCAAAATTAACAAAACGTACAATTTTAATTTTGAATAAAAAGAGAGATTTGGAATGGAAGAACAACAAGAGAAATGAAAAAAAAATGTTTGTGCAGGAAAATTCTGGAGACACGAGAGATTGAGAGAGAGAAAAGGATGGAATAGATTGAGCAAAAAGTCGGGCAGGCAGATTGGGCAAAGGGTCGGGCAGGGGTCTTCTTGTATTAAAAAATGTCTAACAGTGTCAAGGGTATACACTTAATTTTGTCTATTTTCGTGTATATGCCACCTAATTACTCTTATTAAAATATTGTATTAAATCTATACTATTAAAAGTGAAGACACCCTTGAAAAATCGACTGATGGAAGTTGTGTGCACCCTTCATTAATGGCATTTTGGTAATTTATTTTCGTCTTACCTCTATATATATATATCAATAATTACAAATCATATCACATATTAAATATATTCGATTTATTCTCTCTCTTCCCATTAATTGCTCTAACCATATTCCATATTATATTTCATACATTTATATTGTCTTATAAACTTTATATTACGGTTTTAATCTATAGATTGACTACATAAATATTTATTATAATATAAATTAATTATATGGTGTTCAGATGCTCTCATATTTATAAATGCTTACATATTCATAAAATAAAATGTAATAAATTGTAATTTTAAATCATAATATATAATTCAATATACTGTATAATAAAATAAAAAAGTATTGTTTTTAACAAATAAAAATATACTAAATTTTATTTTAATATATTAATTTAGATATTATATTAAATATATTTTTTATTCTTTTAATATATTTTTAATATTTTTCATTAATAAATTGAAGTATGTTGTAAACTCTATGAATATATGTTGTCATGAATATGTAATTAAATTAATTTATAGTTTAGAAAATAATTTTAATTAACTTATTATATATATATATTATTATTGTAGTAATTTAATTATTAATATGAATAATGTATTTATAAATATTATAGTAATGGTATTTCTTATTTAATAAATCCAAATGAATTAAAATTAATTGCAATAATATTTAAAAGTATATTCTATTATTTAAAATAAATATTAAAAGAATAAATATTTATATTTTACTGAAAAAATATATTAAAAGATATTGTCAAAATGAAATATTAGAAAAGATCTTGGTAATATCTTTGATATCTGATTTTGAAAATATTTAAATAATATATTAAGATTGTTATTAAATAATAACTAAATTTGTTATATGCAAGATAATTTCAAATATTTTCTTATTAACTTTTCTTCATATGTCGATATATCATCATTCTCATGGTGACATTTAATGAATGAAATACGTTTCGTTAAGAAAATATTGCAAAAATTATTTTCTATAATTATCTTCGTACTAAAATAAATGAATTGCTTCATCTACAAGTTTATAAATTAACCACAATCAATATCGTGGTTAGTTATTCTTTGTTTGGATTCCATAAATTTCGGTAACTTACCGTAGTTGTATTACCATTAACTGTTAAACTTTAAACTTCTTAACCAATTCAAAATATCTTCAAGAAATATTCCTTATTCCTCGAAAGAGATATTTTTAAAAAATTATCTAAATATTCTTTCCTACATTTGCGTAACCTAAATGGATATTGTCCCTACCTATTATAAATATAGCCTCTTTTAACCACTATATTCATCATTCATTGAAAAACTTAAAACAAAAATGGCGAATAATTTGCAATTGTCGTGATATAAAACCGAGGAAGACTGCATGTCGCATCCAAGTCAAAA